AGCCCACATCACAAGTAATGAACTTGACAACACTCATAGAAGAATCGGAACTCTACCTACTAGTATGTAGATGACAAACAAGAGATTGATTAGCCTTCACTCAAAAGAAAAAGAAACGGCCAACTCCCAAGTGCATCCGGATTTGATTTTGGCTCCGGATGCACCTAAAACATGTGTTTCTCCTCATGCATGCATTCTGTTTTATTCCGGTTGCAAGAGGCCTTGATTTTCTTTGATTTTCTCTGCAAAAATCAAAGAAAATCAAAGTCCTTTGTAACCGTGATATTGGAGAATGAATCTGGTCACGGATGAATCTCCCCAAGTGACCGTTTTTTACTGTTAAGGTCTTTTTCTCTTTTCTTTTCTTTTCTTTTCTTTTCTTTTCTTTTCTTTTCTCTTTCTCCTCCTTTCTTGGATAGTAGGGACCTGCCAGTCCCTACCTATGGCAGTCCCTACTGATGGCCAACTCACTCACTCCCTCTCACTCCTTTTGTCTTATTCTCCCCCACTTTCTTTTCTTTTCTCTCTTTTTTCTAGCATGCCAAGTGTCAAGTGGCCGTTAAGGCCCTTTTCTAGCCTCTTCCTCTTAGTTTTGGCCCTCCCTATGCCCAAGGTGCAGTCCATTATTTCTCGGACTGCAATAATGGCCTTCCCATGCCCATGGGAGCCTCCTTTTACTCCTACACTTCTCCCCCAATGGTCCCTCCTACTCTGATTTTCTCCCGGAGGGCTATTTTTCACATGGGGTCTTATTTGACTCTATTTTCTTGAGGGAGGCTGATCCGAGATTTTTCGGATTGCTCCCATGCCTCCCACTTCAGTTTTCTTTACTTTTCCTTTTCCTTTTGGCCTTCCCGTTTGTCACCACTAGTACTTGCAGTAGTGGTGCTAATATTTTTGGCCGTCAAGATGTCGATCTTGACGGTGCCCCTTGCATTTATTATTTTCCTCTCATGCGGTGCCGCCGTTTCTTCTTGGGGCTTTCACATGTCCCCGCTACTTGTCCCGTTGGTGGTCCCCGACACAGTCCCGTCGGCGGTCCCCGACACTTAGTCCCGTCGGTGGTCCCCGACACTTAGTTYCGTCGGCGGTCCCCGACACATTAGTCCCGTCGGCGGTCCACGACACATTTCGCCCCGTACGCCATTATTTTTACTTAGTCCCACGTGGCCCCGGGTGCCTTTCCCCGAGGTGTCCCATGCTCCTTGGGCGTCTTGTCGCCCCACAGCGACCCCTCTCCTTAGTCTTTCCTCACGCCTTGTGCTTGCCGATCTCTTTGGTCGTGGGCCTCCGCTCCGAGGATCCCGTAGGTGGCCTCCGTGTTGGCCCTCATTTCCTGGCTTCCCGCGGCTTCTGGCCGCCCATCCCTCGACTTCCTCATTCCCTTATTGCTGTCGCGCTTCAATTGCTAGTTCACAAGGCCCTTTGGCCTTAGTCTTATTGCATTCCGATGGCCCTCCCGGCCTCCTGCTATGTTCTATGTGCTCTTGTTCTTGCGCTCGCTTGCTTGCCGCCGCTAGTTCTTTCCTCCTGTGGTTCTCTCCTCAGGGCATCATTCCCTTCTGCGGCCTTATCCTTGGTCTTTTCTCTCTCCTGCTTCCTCACTCCAGATTTCTTTGTTGTGCACAAATCGTTCGTATTCAATCTCTCGAGTGATGGGAAGTTATTCGGGACCCACCAGTCCCGACAACGTGCTTTACTCCCAGTGGGTTGGCATGGTGACCGTGACCCAATGCTTCGTCCAGGGCCCTTCAGATAGCACCGCCCTCTCCTTCCAGATGCTCCACGTGATGGCTGACGACTCTCAAGGTTGAGCGCACACGACTCCTCACATGAGAGGACTCTCAAGACATAACACACATCCTCACGATAAGAAGTGTCGAAGAGGGTAGATAAGGTTAGGTGCAACGTACCTCAATTTAGCTGCCCCCAACCACATATATTCTCACCAGATGACCCGATGTTGATTGTGATGACCAATCGCTACTTCGGCACAACTAGCATTGCACAACCGTTCCACCTCAGCATCAATCACACACCGGATAGTTCTAATCACACTGCGAACACCCAATAATCACACCACATAGCCTTCCTGGCGATCCCCTCTCCACCTGGGTGGCCCACTTATCTTCGCCCTCCTCACTACACACTTCTCACGACACAGTCGCTCACCGCACACACCGCGTGCATGTACCGCATTAGGCTGAAGATAAGCGCCAGATTAGTGCACCGAACCACAACTCCGATACCAAATTGCAAGGAAGATGAGCAATAGCGAACTTCAGCAATCAAACAACATCATACACATGAGACCAGATAGTCGTGACCTCGAACCAAAAGCAAAATTGCATCACGAGTTTCACCAAATAAAAGCACACCAAAAGCTCATAATTGACAATGCTGGAATAGTCTCATCATCATCAACGAAGAACCAGTGTTGACATCCTATCTGGCGCTCGTTGCCCAGACTACGAATGGCAGATTCTATCTAGCCTAGACTACAATGCCGCTGATGACGTCAACAGCTTCCCAAGTACGAGCAGACCTCGGCCAATGCCGAACGCATCTAGCACCAGGTATGTCTCTCGTGTCACTCACAACCTCGTTCCCCAACTCACAGATGCCACTTGCACCCAAGGACCACCATGTGCCCCATCCAGCATACAGCAGCGCAGCTCGGCTATGGCTGCCTGCTCCTTCCAGCTCGCCCGTGAGCGCGTGAGCCTGGCAGGCAATAGCGCAGCAGCACTTGTGCACAAAGCAGCCAGTGCCCGAATGTCCAATGCGTCGGCAGGCCCTTCCCTATATTGAAGTGGCCTGCTGCTGCGTGCTGTGCTGCGGTACTGGGCCCCGGCCCAGAAGCTTCTGGTAGGCCCCACGAGGCTGAGCCTCCATACAAAGGAAATAGGCCCAGGGCCTGTGGTGGTTACTAGTGCCCAACTGCCCGCAGCCTAAGTTGGGTCCATGTTGCGAATCTCGCCCAGGGCCTGACTCAAACGCATTTGATAAAGAAGGCCAGGGCCTGGGCGCATCCAACCAACTGGCGCTGCGCAACTGCTTGGATTTTCCCCAGTTGCGAAGTAGTCCAAAATAGGCCTCTTAGGGTCTGTCGAGCCTGCCTTCACTTTGGGCGGCTGACGCTGTTGCAAATAGGGGCCCAGTAGGGCTTATCCAGGCCCTATGCCTCGCACCTCCTCCTATTCAATGTTCTCCACACTTTTCAGGATCTTTCATTGGTTGGCACCTCATCTCTGATAGTCCATAACGCTTTTGCAGACCAAGGCTGTAGAATCAAACCACTGATTGATGAGGTGTCGGTGCGAATACCCTTACAAGGGTATCCGCCCTGGGTTTTGCAAGTGACAGAAAATAGTTTTGGTTTAAAGTTTAAGTATACCGCGCTAGGCGCGGCTGCGTCTGTGACTTACGTTGACTGGATGGTTGACTATAATAGAGACGCGCGTGGGCGCGCAGATTTGAGGCGCGCGTGATTCTTTTCTGTTGTTGATCATAAAGTCGGCACGGACGTCGGTCGTTTTGTTTAATGATATTATTAATACTTATTTATTTTTGATTAAGCAGGAACTAGGGATATTTCCCTTTGATTGGCGCGTTGACCGAGGTGAGCGCGCGTGCGAGGACGACGGCGACGACGGCGATAGTGTGACTGTGGTAGGTCTCGGCACGCAGAGGGGCGTGAGTGGCGGTTGTGGTACAGCTTTGGTAAGTCGCCGCAGACGCTGGGCGGCCGCCCGCATGGTTGTAGGCGGAGATGAGGCTCAGGCCAATTTCCTTGGCCCTGAGCGCAGCGCCACGCCGCCTTATATGGCACTCGGCGTGTATTGGTCTCAGGCTTGGGCTTAGCCCTACAGGTTATGGCGTTGAATTGTTGTAGCGGAGGTTCGGGGATCGAGGCCAGCTTACGGCGGTGCGGGAGCAGCGGAGCAGCGGAGCAACGTGGAGAGAGCCGAGGGGTCAAGGGCCCATCGGGGCTATGCCCCTCAGGCTCTTGCCAGTGGGCGAGGTGGCTGGCCCGGCCCGTGGAACTGGCGAGGTGCCAGCAGCGACGAGGTGCCCCGGCCTTACCTTTATTCCATTTTATTTTTACTTTATTTTCCTTTTGCTTTACTAATTTCGGTCTTTTTTTTTGTCTGGGACGCGAGGCGACGGTAGGGTCATGCGGGGTGTGTTGCATTCGCGGGATTGCCTGAAGAGCAATTACAAACTGTTTTCGTGGCTGCGCCAGAGCCGCGCCCCGCTTGGCCTTGGGACGAGGTGCCGCGGGCGGTACGGGACCTACGAGCCTAGCTCAGTGGGCACACCATTGAACTGTTGAAGTACGGACCTGGGTCTGAACCCAGGTGGCGGAACTGGGGGAGCCGCGGGGCATTATCCCGGCCTAGTCCTTGGGACATCCGTTGAAATTGGAATGATACAGCGGAGATTGGAGCGGCCCCGCGTGAGGTTGAAAAGTATAAGTTGAGGGGCGGCGCCCAACTTTTCGTTGGTTCCTGTGGAAGCCATGCGGAAGCGCTGGCTCAGTGCCCCGTGTGAGGAGCTCTGCGGTATGCCCGAAGGCCGACACGGGCAGGGAGGCGGGCAGCGGAGCAGAGCAACAGACAGCACGGCCGAACCTGGGCAGGGGTGGCGCCAGGTGCATTCAGTAGCGAGGGCGGAGTACCGGCGGGGCAGGGCAAAGCGCAGAGCCACATAGAGAGGTGGGACGGAGTGCAGGAGATGGGATTGACGGGCAGGTGGTGCAGCGGTGGCAGGCGGCAGGGAAGGAAGGTGGACGAGGTGACGAGAGTCGAGCGCAGAATCGCGCCGGGGGTGTGCARGGTGGTGTAACGGAAGGAAGGGCCGGGACCGGCCAGCTGCGCTATTGCACGCAGTGCCGGCCTGGGGAAGGCGAAGGGAAAAGTGGATCTGGGCACGATCCCGGGTTAGGTGCGCTCAACGAAGGAGATGGCTGAGAGGTGAAGTCGGGCGCAGCCGGGAAAGCTTAACCCGCTCGATCCTCGTCAGAACCAAGCGGGGAAAGAAGTGATCCTGGGGTTTTGGCCCTGGGCGAGTCGGTTGATGAGGGCAGATTAGTGAGAGGGTTAGTAGATTAGGAGGTAGTAAGGAAAGTCGCTGCCGTAGCTATGGCGGGAAGGGAAGAGGAGCGAGGGTGGTGAAAGCCGTTCCCACTCGTTTCTGCGTGAAAACGGGTGGGGTAAGGAGTGTTTTGGGGGTTCTAATGTCGGGCGAACCCGAATCCGACTAGAGAATTAGTAAGAAGTTAGTAAGGTCGGAGTTGGAAGAGAAATAAACCGCGCGGGAGATGGCAGAAGGGGGGGAATATGACGAAGGTGAAAATTGTATAGCCCACCCGTTCCTTGATGGAATCAGGCGGGGAAAGACGTGATATAGGGGGTTTTAGACGAGGCGATCACGATGCCGGGGTCAGAAAAACGAAAGGGGGAGTGTAGAAAGAGTTAGTAAGAAGAGTTGGTGTGCTGAGATATGGAGGAGAGTGTCGAGAAGAAGAAGAACGAGAGTAAGAAGTAGGTACCTTTCCCGTTCCTCAACGGGATCGGGCGGGAGAGGAGGTTGTTTGGGGGTTTCGACATAGGGCGAATACGATGGTAATGTTAGTTTGAGTGTTCGGTTAGTAAGCTAGGAGCTAACTGATGAATAGACTGCGCCGGGGGTGAAGCGACCAGCCTGAGTGTATTTGGTCGTGTTTTCAGGGTAGGTTTGTAATAATTTTTGCTTATTCTAATGAAATTCAGTAGGGCAGCGTATCCTTCCGCGTTCTAACAGCGGATTCATTGCGACCTTACCCCCGTGAGGGAGAGAGAGAGAGAGTAAGTCGGACAAGAGTCGGGGGAAGGCGACATAGAAAAGTCGGAAGGGAGGGGTAGGCACCTGGTCGTTCAAAGCTTGCTTACCCGATCGATGGAGCAGCGCAAGGCAGCGGCGGAGTGGGGCAGTTGTCTGTAGGGGGCTTACCTGTTAGCCGGTGCGTTGGCCATCCTATCGGTAGAAATGGCTGCTCCTTACCTTTCCGTGCGCATGGCTGGAAGGTAGCGCGTAATTCCATGTTCGGYCGGTGGGTTCGTGGATACTGAGCCCCTTCTGGGGGAGGGAATCTCCCGTTCCCGTGCGCACGTACGAGGGGCGGCATTTGTATCTGACAGGTCCTTGGTCCGTACTAATGCCGGGAGTGGTTGTCGAAGCATCCGTCCGTTACAGGAAGGGTGAAGTAAAAAGGTTGTCGAGCGCCGGTCATACCGCTCCGGCTGTGCTGCAGGGAGGGGAGACTACGAGATAACGCAGGGCAAGGGAAGTACGTACCTGCTTTTTCTGCGGGTCGGAGGAATAAGAGCCTGCGGCTGCTCGCTGGTAGCTGTTGCGGCGTCCTTAGTTAGCGCACGATAGCTGAAGTAGCAGGCTGATGTCGCAGCCGAAAAAGACCAAGTCTGTGTTGGCTACGGGACGTCTAGTACTGTCCGGAGAGGGGCTTGGTGATTGACGATACAACTCCAACACTACTCGTGATTGCAAGGGGCTCGTATGGTTGGATGAGCGGGGTGAAGGTGCTGTTTTTATGCTTGAATACTGTCGATCGGAGGAAGAACGACTATGAGGCAGACTTGTGTTGACTACTAGTGGTTGCAGAGGCGCCCCGTTGGTGTGCTTGGTTGTCGAGCAGACAACCCCCTTCCCCTGTCAAAATCCTCACTGAGCTTGCTTACGAAGAAACACGGGGGTGTCCACCCCACTGAAGTACAACCGTCATAAAGGGCGTAGCGGCCATTTGATCAGGAGTGGCGGGGCTGCGGTAGAGGGAACAACTTGAAGCTTGGGGGAGTGGTTTGGCATTAAAAGGCTGGTTATTACCGTGAATTGGAGAGTTATCAAAGATTTGAGAAGGGGGGGGGTTGGTGCTGTGACTCAGGAGGTCGACAAGGGGTTACGTCAACAAGTCTAAGTTCGTTGACCAAACTGTCAGTTGGCCGCCATTGAGGGGCCCTCAGGCGCATCAAGGCAACAAGGCCCTCTCCTGCGAGTCTGAGTGCACCCCTCTCGTATCTGAGAGTCTCAAAGTTATCTCTACCTACCCTTCTTACTCTAAGTCTGGTCCTGATCTGAGAGGAAGGCGGCAGGCGGGATTGCAACCCGTAGGACTGCGATAAGGCTCTGTGGGGAGTCGACCCACCGATTGAGGGAGCTTTGCCGGAACTCAGGAGGAGTTCTGGAGGCAGGGAAGTCAGAGGTAACCATTGCTTTCCCTTATAAACCCAGTGTAACCCCTATCTATATACCCCCCTGTRTGTTGAATGATTGAGCTGTATGCAACACTACTTTGACTTTTGGATTGGCCTTCAGGACACAAATCAGACCAACTAAAAGAATGTTTGTATAATGGAAGTTCCAATTTCTTGTTTGTCTGAAAGCAGATTGCCACAAGGGGTTGCATCAGGGGGAAGGTTGGGAGGAAGGCAGTTTTGCTTGCGATTGAACGGGTCTTATAGGGTCAGGCATCGTTTCTAAGATGAATGGCCTGACTGCTATGTTTTGTTCTGTTTTTTGAAGAACCAAGCATTGTTTCTAAGATGAATGGCTTTGTTGTTGTGTTTCTTTAATCGTGCCAGACATTGTTTCTAAGATGAATGGCCTGGCTACTTATTGCTGAGGGGTATTGCTTGCTTGACTTTTGAGGGTCAGACATTGTTTCTAAGATGAATGGTTTGGCCGCTGTTTTACTTGGGTGGTTTCTGAACAGTCTCTGGGTCAGACCCAGGGTACTCTGCTTTTTGTGTGTGCTGAAAAAGGGAGAGCTGAGCATTGTTTCTAAGATAAATGGCTCATCTCTCCTTGATTGTTTTTATTCTGAGGGAGGATTCAGGGCCAGAGGACTAGACATTGTTTCTAAGATGAATGGTCCAAGTCTGAGGCCTCAGGACCATAATGAGAACAAAAAAATAAGATTCTCTATAATGTAGTATATATATGTACTTATATACGAACAAGGCTAGTCGAGCATTGTTTCTAAGATGAATGGCCTGACTATAACCTTATCACAAGTGAAGAGAGTATAACTAAGAGTTATAACTGAAGGTAACTTGGGCAGGCTCGGCATTGTTTCTAAGATGAATGGCCCAACCCTACGCCCTCCTTTTGAAGACTAAGGTGCAGAAAGATATATATAAGTTGGCTATTTAAACAGTTCAGGGCGACTAAGCATGGTTTCTAAGATGAATGGCTTAGTCATGTGCCCAATGAAGAGAAAAGTAGTTGTGCAACATGTTCGTGTATAACTAAGGCAGAGGGTTGGCATTATTTCTAAGATGAATGACCAATCCCAATGCCCTATGTAAGCCGGGAGTAAAGGGTTAAATGATTGAAAGACTTTGAACTATTGTTTGCTAAACCGATTTGGGGATGGTGAGAGTACTTACCTTTGTGGTTTGGCCTGCATGTGGCTGAGTGAGGTTACTACTTGGTCTGAGTTTCAGTTGACAGGTAGTCGTTTTAGAGGCTCGCCACGTGCTAGAGCGATAGGAGTTAGCTCAATTTCTGCATTTTCTGGGCTAAGTTTTTTTTACTTAGATCAGTTCTCAGTTCTCGCATTTTCTGAGATCTTTTGTTATACTTGGCTTTGTATAAATCTTGGTAAGCTACTTTCCCTAAGGGAAGCGCTGTCGAAATTTCTGCAAATCCAAGGAGTTAGTCAAACTTCTGACTTTTCAAAGTTTAACTTGTCTAAGGTTCGTATATGACTTAGTAAAAATCTGGAAAGTCTCCTTTTCTAAAGGGAGTGTTGCCCAAATTTTTGCTAATTCAGGGAGTTAGACAAAATTGGACTTTGGAAAGTCAAAAACCATTCTTTGGTTTTCATATTTGGGCAGATATAAATTCTGAAAAGGCACTTTTCCTACGGGAAGCGCTGCCAAAATTTTATTGATTTAGAGAAGTTAGATTATATTTTGACAGGTGGCGATTCTGGCGATCCACCCTGAATAGGGGAGATCCTGCCGTTAGTCTACCTTTGCTTTGGGCACTGGCTTAGAGGTAGACTTAGACTTGGTTAGCAGATAACTTTGAGTGAGAATGTGCTATGGAGATTCATCCCCCATATGCTGATGATTTAGCTTGGGCATTGACCTGTCTTATGGTACAGACTTTCGTTGGACTTCGATTCAGGATTTGGACTAGATTCAGCTTGATCCTACGAGGGTCATCTTCTGTTATCACTGATAACAGGTCGGTAGCCGATTCGTCGGTTTACAATTCAACTCCAATTCACTCCTGCCACTCAACCTAAAGGCTTTAGTCTTGAGATTTGAATTGTTTTGTTGTGTTTTTACCCGGACTTTATTGAATGGTCATCCAACAAAAGTACTGAGTATTTATTTAAGAGTTGCACGAGGGAGGCTTGTATGGCTAAAGCGAGGGGTATGAGTGCTAGGAATGGTTGAAGTTGACCCCGTGTAGTGCATGGACTTCTTGATGAATCTTTGATGTGATTGCATGTATGTCCGTGGTTCGGACTCTGGATGTGACTGCCTGCGAATACATACATATATGGCTGAGAGGAGTCCCACAGTGACTGTGAGAAGTGATCATCCTATATAAATAAGCCTTATATATATCTATATATATGTG